GCGAGCTGAACCTCTTTCTCGCCAAAACGATTCATGACTACGAAAACTATAATGTGGACGGCCCCCGGTTTTTTAACGTGTTACATGTAGCTTGTTAAATAGCAATGTTATATAACATGTTACTAAATGTGGACCCTCCTATACAGGCGGCGAGACAACGGACAACGGAGTGGGGAAAGCGCTACGGCGAACGTAGCTGCTTCGGTCGAAACCGTCGATGGTCGTATTGGGTTTGCAACAGCTTAAAAATAATAGGGTATAAAAGAAGCAGGTTTTTTGAAACAGTTGCGGGCATAACGCCTGGGCGGTCGAGATAACAGGAGTGGGAAAGAAACGCTGCTGCATCGATCGATTGTCGATGGAGGCTCGCAACGGGTTGGAGAAGCAGTCATTTTAGATATGTTGTTTTTCAACCTGTTATGAGCATAACAGGGCGGCGGTTAAGATAATCGGAGTGATGGAGGTTTGAAACAGGTTGGGGAATAACGCCATCACTTGTTTTAGATACATTCTGTTTCAACCTGTTACGAGCATAACGGACGGAGGTCGAGATATTATGGCGCTGTATGTTTCAGTACTTACTTATTAAGTTTCAATATTTAGGTATTTATTTAGGAATAATATTTTAAGATTTTTTAAAAATGTATACAGGGTGTTTTGAAAAATCTGGTCATTGATTAATCACGATCCTGCTTAAAGCCCTTGACGTAAAAAGCTGACTTTTGGAAAACGGATTGACTTTAGTGTGTAGAGGTTCGATAAGAAGGGATTTTTCGAATTCTAAGGGGGTGAAACTACTCTCAAATATTAGAATATTTTTTATTTAAAAACCGGTGAGTTTTTCGGAAAAACTCTTAAAACATGTATATTTTATTATGTTGTTTTACATATTTTAAGATTTTTTAAAAATATATACAGGGTGTTTCATAAAATATGACCATTGAGTAATCACTATTCTGCTTAAACTGATTGATGTTTAAAGCTGATTTTTGGCAAACGGATTGACTGTGGGGTTTAGGTTCGATAAGGAGGGGTACTCAATCGAATCTCAAATTCCAACAGGGTGAAAACGCCCCTCTAATATTACAATATTTGTTATTTAAAAAACGGTTAGTCTTTCGGGAAAACGCCTGAATACGCATAATTTATTTTGTTTTTTTTTACATATTTTGAAATTTTTAAAAAATCATACAGGGTGTTCTAAAAGTTGAGTAATTGATTAACCACGATTCTGCTTAAACTGCTCGACGTTAGAAAGCTTATTTTTTGGCAAATGTGAGAAAATTTTTTATCCAGTTTGTATGTTATGGAAATTCTTGTTTTGCTTTATCATCACCATTAGAAATTATTAATTCGACGCGAACGAAGTCGCGGGTACACGCTAGTTTAAGTGTAAAATTAATTCGAACTCTAGTGTGTAGTTGGTTTACTTATGAAAAATATACTACACATTTTCTTATATTGCTATTTTTTGACCGCCAATGTTAAAATCATAACTAAGAGCTTCTCGCCCGTCGAGTGAGATGCACCCTGTACACTGCTACGCAATTCAGGATCTACCCGGATCGAGGGGCAGGGCGTAGGTAGATCGGAATGTATAGGTATAGACGAGTGGCAGAATTTTGGCTTTTTTTATATCGCAATTTGTAAACAGCGCTTATTTGTAAACAACCACCGTTTTTAGAGAGGTATTTTAGATAACAATCGGTATTTAGAAATGTTTTGACACCCTGGAAATACTACCACCGAGCACGTCATTGCAACTTGCAACTGCGTTAATACGCCTGGCGGTGACCGCCTCATACTCTTTCAGATATTTAGCAGTAAAATAAAGAAACCTGTTATTTTTAAGCTGTTATTTTAAGCTGTTTTTTATAAATAACTATAACAGTTTCAACTGTTATCTAAAAATAACAGTTTTGCCCATCACTAGTGTACAGGGTCGGTCATAAAGTCGTGGCATATCAAAGTTTTATTTTTTTAAATAGAACCCCCTGTATATTATTACAAATTTCAATTCTTCCTTCCATTCTAAGCAAAAATCGAAACACACAAAATGGACCTCAAACCAACCTGGCGAATGATAATAATTTCCTATTTAATGTGTGTTTTTCGGATGAGTGTACTTTCCTTTAACGGTGTAGTTAATCGGCATAACTGTCAGTACTGGGCTGAGGGTTTTTTCACGAGGTGCACACACAAAACCCTCAGAAATTGAACGTGTGGGCTGGTATGTTTGGAAATTCTATTTTAGGTCAGTTTAACGATATTGAGAAGAACTTCAACGCACAAGTCACAGAACAGCTATCTAGCAACTACCGTCCTTGATCGTTCAACCTTGTGGCAAGTGAAAAAATGCGTAAACATCTAGAAATAAGAAAAAACAGCTAATTGGTCGAAGGAATTTATCCTTATCATTTACTCTGATAAATGTTTAAATAAACTTTTCAAATTTCAATCCTTCATATTTTCTCAATGACTCGACCGATTTTCAAAAACGAAGCGGGAAAGTATAGAGAATAAAAAGCCCTTTTCATTGCGGTACCACTTGACCACCCTTCCCATTTGAAAAAAGTTGCGGGATGACGCCCCCGCTTAGAGCGTTGAAGATTTTGCAATCATTTTTGGGGCAACAGTTGTCCCCCTCACAAACAAAATTGACGTGTTTTTGGATTTATTGAAAAAAAAATATCCTGGCCGTTATGCCTTGCGGAACGTTTTCGATGGGCCACCCTGTAAACTCCTTCCTTTGAAAACACTTTACTTCCAGCCACTCTCAAATTGAGGAACTTGTACCCTTGTACCCTTTCCCTCTAACGAGAATTAACAAACTCCCACCCCCACCCCTTTGATTCGCCGCCGTCCATCATTAAACCGTTAAACTATCGGCACGGCAATTATTGATTAACGAGGCATCAATTTCTGAGGCAAATTGCCCCCTAATCCACCTTTAATTAGAGCGGGCCCGGCTTAGAGGTTCTTGTCTCGTGCAACTTAATACTCAAGCAGCCCTATATAGGGCCCTTCGATAGGGTTTTAATCGAAAATTGGAGCTGCGGGAGTTGGTTTATTTAGTCTTCGGATGCATAGTAATAGGGTGTAAGAATTTAAGAGTTAAGAGTGGTTAAAGAACAGTTTGGTAAAATATTGGGAACGTCAAATGTTGACGTTTTCTAAATTTCAATACCTCTAAACTTGCGTGCATAGAAATCGGCCCACTGTAAACTTGGGACTTTAACTGTGTCTTTTAGAATCTATTTATCAGACCAAGAAAAAAATATGAGCTGTTTCAAAGACAATTTAACATGCTTTAGTATGAGTATAAATTTATCCAAAGTACTTATCGTTTATATGCGTAGCAACGGGTAAACAAATGAAAAGCATTTGTGTTGTGGTGACAATAAGAATAAAAAAGTTATCAAATATTGCAATTACTACTTTACTGTTACTTTGTAATCGAAATTTGCACATTGTTCTTTCATTGTTTGATTTGTTGTGTTTCATTGTTTGATTAGTGTTTCAATTTAATGCATACATCACGGAAAAAAACTGCCAAAGTAATCGCTTTAATTGAAAATGGACTTAAACAGAGAGCTGTAGCTCGGCAACTGCATATGACACGCGGAGCGGTTCGAAGAGTGTGTGAACGATATGAGGAGAGTCGATCCTTTCGTAGGCGACCTGGAACTGGTGGAAAGAGATATACAACGGATCGTGATGACCGCTTTATTGTGTCAACAATATTAAGAAATCGGCATCTTAATGCTATTCAGGTGCAACAACAGCTCCGTGAAACAGAAGGAGTGACTGTTAGTAAGACGAAGATTGAAGGAAAGTAACATGACCCCCAAAACACTCGCAATTAGTCCAAAACTTACCCCAGCTCATCGTCAAACACGTAAGGATTCGTACTAGACAAAGAGCCCCAACCTCTATCCCAGAGCTCATTGTTGCAGTATAAGAAGAGTGGCTTTACATACCGAAAGCAACAATATCAAACTTGATTGAATCTATGCCAAACTGTATGAGAGATGTTGTAAGAGCAAGAGGGTGTCATACACTTTATTGAAAATTTATTTTAGTTAATTGTCAATCAATAAATAAATAAATAATGGCATACATCTTAGTAATAAAAACCATAATTTGTTTCATGCATTAATTTAATAATTTTAATCCAAAGAAACCGAAATACAAATTAATATCTCTAAACTCTTTTCAAAGAATATAAAATTGTCTTTCAAACAGTACATATTTTTTCTTAATCTGACAAATATATTCTAAAAAATATATAGTTAACTTCAAAAGTTTGCCTTGGGCCGATTTCTATGCACGCAAGTGTATTACAAAATTTATCTTTTATGGATTTTTAATGTACCTATTCTCTGCTTTTACGTTTTCTTCTTCTTTTCTATGGAGTTTAATATTGAAAAGTACTTTATTAATAAACGGTTAAAACTCGTTAGACAGCTCAAGTGAAGATTTGCAGGTCCAATATTAAAACAGATCAATAATAAATAAACAAATCTAATCATTATCTATATTTTTATAGCTTACAAAACATTCACGATTACTTGTTGTTTTGTTTTTCATGTTTTTTTTAAATGTTCCTAACTTTAAGAAACAATGGCTGCATGATAAGTTTAAACTTTGAGTTTAAATGGTCCTAAAAAGTCATTCTATTTAGTTAATGAAATTTATTTACCTTTACTGCCTACCTCCATTGCTTTTGGATATAAATACAAAATATTATTACAAATTTTAGAAATTAAAGGAGAATGTCACTCGAACTTCCAATATTTGCTTGATTTCTGTCACATAAATGACATTGATTGACAAACAAAACCAGAAAAACCAGCCCTGTCGCGGTGGTTAATTTGGTGACAGTTATAACTGAATTTTTCAGGAACCGTGTTCCGTAATAAGAAAACTTTCAGGAAACCGATAGAAACGGGACATAAAACCATAACTAAGGTAAGCAACGAAATACACCTTAAAAAAAATATAGTTTCGTCAGTGGCTTTCAAAATTGATTGCTTTATGGTCGCAATATGATCGCAACACACGTCAAATAATAATGTCAGATGTATCTCTACATGTATCTCTGGATGTATCATCTAACGAAAATAGTGTAAGCAGGGAGCGTACCCTTTCCGAGAGCAAAGGAAAAATCCAGAAGTTCCGTATTAACACTTACGATGAATTCCAGACCTCTCTGGACAAGTACGGACACTTAGGTTTCCTTTTTCTGTACTTCACCGGTTCAGAGCTCAGTAAGGATGGTTATGATTGGTGTCCCGAGTGCAGTGAAGTAGGTACTAACTGTTTCTTCCCGTTTTTTACCGTATACAACTCAATAAAATAAAAATTTTGGTTTTAGTTCAACCATAATAAAGGTTTATCTAAAAAAATACCTAAATTACTGCAATTAAATCACAAACATGTTAATTTTATATAATAACTTTTAGTCATTTTTTGTTTTCTAAGGCATTACCTATAATAGAACAGGAGATAGATAATGCTTGCAACGTGGTTTTCTTTTTAGTTGAAGTAGGAAACGAAGAACAATGGCAATGCAAAGAAAATCCATATAGGTAAGAAATTTGTGATTATCTGGAAATAATTATATCTATATCAGTTTACAAAATACTAAACACCCAGACTAACTTACAGCACAGGTTATGTATCCTATAAGTATACCTACAGATAAAAATCTTGTCCCTAATTCGTGGTACGAAAATTGTTTTTTATGACGATGTGCAAACGAGTAAAATTTCCTGTGCGCAAAAATAAACTCGCGTAAAATAACAATAAACAGCGTAATAGAGAGATGTCGCTAAACCGAATAGCGTGCATGGACGTTAATAAGGCCAGGTGTTATTTCCTTTACGTGAGGTGGTATTAACTCTCTTCATTTATAGTTATCGGATCGGAAAGAATTCTGTTCGCGTCGTGTCCGCTATTTAAACTTAACCTAACTTTGAATTTAGGTATTTTAAAACTAAAGGGCTAAAGTGCTTTATTGTTCAACGTCTGCCAGTAGGTTTAGGGCAACAAGCAACAAATTCTCTTAGAAGGGCTAAGCCGTCATCTGCTGTAAACCTAAGCCTCTTTATAGGTTCTTTAATATTGGAAAAGGTGGAATCCATATTTTGGGCCATATTTATTTAATTAAAACTAATCCCAACTACTTAAATATCAAATTACCTAATAAAACTAAAGTAATAATTCAAAACATAACCTAAAATAAAAGATCTCGCCGGCCGGCCCCGGTTGTCAAATACCCGCGCATGCCCATTTAAGCAATTTTTAAACGTTATTTAGAAACAGCGCTTGGTGTAATCGATCCGCAAATTACGTCAGGCGGTAACGTTATTAGCGGGTGTTGCGTTAAAAATTGACTCGCGCATATCGTAACCATGATAAGGTACGCGTAAATACTGCATGACGCTATTCGATTTTCCGATATCTCTCTAATAACTGTGCCGGTCAGGCGCTGTGCACAATTTTAGAGGCCATAAGTGGGCGTGCTATGTGCGCAAACTAGTAACCTAACTAGTGCCCGATTCCGAAAATTGGAACCACGAAAAACAATAAAGAAAAAACAAAGTTTATAATCTGTATAATCTATGTTTACAGTTTTTTGATAATTTTTTTTGTTATAATGTGTTGGCATATGGCTTTAATACAATTAACAAGTTCAATAAGATTTACTTGTAGTTTTAATAAATGCTATTGATAATGCTAACATATCCAGTGTTAAAAGTAAAATACCGTTATGATACTGAAATGACGAACGATGACATTCCCCATATAATTTTACATTATAAAATGACAGCGATGTTCATTTTATAGCCATCGCTGACGTCGTTTTTTTTATCATATTGTATTTTGGTATATTGTAGTGAATTAGTGTTTCATTGCACTCTCCATAGATCGGTGGAGGTTTCCACTTCCTCTTTAGTAACCCCCTCCCCAAGTAGCATTTTCACGACTTGCGACCACATGTTTACTAAACACAACGTTCGATTAGTTACAAAAAATAGTTAGCTCCCTACCTTGGATATTAAAATAAATTTTAACGTTTTTATAACGTTGTGCCGACGTTGGACTAGTACTACAGCAAAGTAGAAGCTTCTGCGACGTCGAATAAACGTTGTCTTGTAACCTTTTTTGCTTAAATGATATTTAGGTGATTCGGACAACGCAGTTACAACGTTGAACAATATAGAGTTTTCCGACGTCAGTTTCAGAACCTATTCCAACGTTATGCAAACGTCGTCTGTTTTACTAATTCCAACGTTGTTTAGATTTCCTTATTCTTACGTTGGTAGAACGTCGAGTCACTACCTTTTTGCAACTGTATTGAACCATAACCTTAAATCTTAAATTTTCACTTCATTGTTCTGTTCAGTCAGACAGTTCAGTGCTGTTTTTGTTTTTATAAAAAAAACTTAATTAAAATGGGACATAAGAAAGGTACATATAAAACTAAATTTAAATATACATCGACATACTATATTACCGATGTTTATCCACTCCCTCGTTAATTTAGGTTATAGAGGGCGGCACAAGCTAGACTCTAGGATGACTAAATTAGGCAATCTTGCGACTAGTATACTACCTGTTAAGGCCGAACTGCGACTTTATTAGTCCAGTAAGCGACTACTCGAACTACTCCATCTTAATCTCCAAAACAACAAAGGGAAACCCGCCATGTTGTTAAATAAGGAAATGTTTCGTTCCTAAAATAACAATTCCTGCTTTTTGAATACATTAACTTGAAATATTTGACCCTAAAAAAACACGCGGAAACAATTTTTTCGACTGCGAATAAATGATTCTCATTTTACTCTAAAAAAAAAATTCAAGAAAATTTTTAAAATTTCTTTAATTTTAAGGCCCATTAGTATTTTTCAAAGTAGAAACAATACATTTATCAATAAAGTTGTTTGCGTTTAACTTTTTTGCCTTGGGTAACGAGTTACAGAGTCGGTTAAAGTGTTTCAATAATTATGATCTTCAAACATCCTCCACACTTAAATACTTTTGTTTTGTTTTCCTTCACTGCCATCTGACATATGTCTCTAACTAAATCATAAAAATAATATTTTTACTATAATTATCCCAATTTAGGATAAAACGCGACTTAGACGCCATATTAGTTTTGTATTTCTGTGAATTAGGATTTTAAACAACGTTGCAGTTTGTACTAAATTAGGCTTCTAGCCAACGTCGGTATCCAACGTCGTTTCGACCCAAAAATTATTCTCCAAACTAGTGCAGACTAGGGTTGGCACGAGGTTGTGCCGACGTTGCGCCCCGACGTTTGTCGCGTGACACAACGTTGTCCCGACGTCCAAATGCTGCTTGGGTCCCTATATGCAGTGGCGGATCCACGGGGGTCTTCGGGGTTTCAAGCCTTGTGTTCGGCCAAGTAATATGATTAACACAGATTATACAGATTATAAACTTATCGCATTGTTTTTCGTGGTTCCAATTTTTGGGTTACTAGTTTGCGCACAAGCACGCCCACTTATGGTCTCTAAAATTGTGCACAGCGCCTGACCGGCCCAGTTTATTTTTGCGCACAGGAAATTCTACTCGTTTGCTCATCGTCATAAAATACAATTTTCGTACCACAAATTTGGGACAATATTTTTATCTGTATATTTACAGGATACCTAATCTGTGATATTACTAATTTATTTTGTCTCAAAACGACTCTAGAGTATATGTATACTTTTCGTAAAGTTTTGTGTGTAGCCATCCCTTTTTCCGAATCCTGGATCCGCCCCTGCCTGTATGTATATATTTTATACGTTTTAGGTCCCATCCGAATTTAAATTTAAAAGTAGTACCAACGTTTATGAAATGGAATAGTCACCGAAGACTGGAAGGAGACTACTGTGCTAAAGCAGAATTGGTACAGCTTTTATTCGAAGACAATTGTAGTTTTTAACCTTTTATAGAACTAAATAATAAATTAATTAATAAATTACGAAAATAAATACTAAATATCACAAAAAAAGTTGTTAAAATATAAAAGAAACATTATTTAGTACATACCAAAAAAAAATATCGACATTTTTGTGATAAATATACGAGGGTAAGATAGTTAGTAATGCAAAACAATACCTACCGGGGATCTATTAATAGTAATCTTCACAATCGGATGTTGCGAAAAAAATTCTCAGCAATTTATTCCCAAGATATTATTTAAAATTAACTAAATTCAAAGAAATAAGTGAATTTAGAGAGGTTTTAAAATACATATTGATCAAACCGTCACAAACCGTATAATAGAAAAAATACAGGCGTTAAAGACGTCTAATGAATGACAATCAATGATAATTTTGACGAGATCAATCTTTAGACGTAATTTACTAAAAATTGACATCAAACTTGAGAAAAAATAAACTATAATCATTATAAAAGTACTAGCGTGTACCCGCGAACAAACGTTTTCCCGAAAGACTAACCGTTTTTTAAATAACAAATATTGTAATATTTGAGGGGCGTTTTCACCCTTTTGGAATTTAAGATTCGAGAAACCCCTCCTTATCGAACCTCTACACCCGACAGTCAATCCGTTTGCCAAAAATCAGCTTTAAACGTCAAGCAGTTTAAGCAGAATCGTGTTACTCAATGGTCATATTTTATGAAACACCCTGTATAATTTTTTAAAAATCTTAAAATATGTAAAACAACAAAAAATAATATACGTGTTTAGCAGTTTTCCCGAAAAACTCACCGGTTTTTAAATAAAACAATATTCTAATATTTGAGGGGTGGTTTCACCCCCTTAGAAATCGAGTTTCGAAAAATCCCTTCTTATCGAATATCTACACCCTAAAGTCAATCCGTTTTCCAAAAATCTCTTGTTTTAAGCAGGTTCGTGATTTTTCAATGACCAGATTTTTCGAAACACCCTGTATACATTTTTAAAAAATCTTAAAATATGTAAAAAACAAAATAAAATATACGTGTTTAAGCGTTTTTCCGCGAACTTGATCATTTTTTAAATAAAAAATATGGTAATATTTGAGTGGTGGTTTCACCCCCTTGGAACTGGAATTTCGAAAAATCCCTTATTATCGAACCTCTACACCCTAGAATCAACCTGTATGCCAAAATTGAGCTTCTTACGTTGAGTGATTTGAGCAGGATCGTGATTAATCAGTCACTTAAGGATTTTATACAGGGTGATTTTTAACCTATAGGCATAAACTTGGGAAATTATTGCTGATGACAAATAATGACTAATAATGAAAAAAAAGTAAGTAAAATATTTTTATTTACGGAGATAACAAACTATTTGAAATAAAAACAAAAAACGTAAATTCCATTAAATCGAATGTGCGTTTACTGATAAAGTTGATACATTTTTGTGAAAAAAAACTCAAATTATTTCAGAATCTAAAAATATTTTACTAACTTTTGTTTCATTATTAGTCATCAGCAACAATTTCCCAAGTTTATGCATATAGGTTAAAAATCACCCTGTATATTAGTATAGATTAAAAAAGGATAGAATGTTTAACTACATCATTAAAAAATAATTTTTACTCAATATCAAAATGAAATACAATCTGCTTAAGGCATTGATCTCGCCAAAATTTTTTCGGTAGTATGGTGGATAAAAATAAAACAAATTTTGTGTTGATATATTTAATTTTTATTATAATCGAATATATTTCAGTAACACTAACATAAAAAAATACGCGCAAAAGTTTCGATTTGACTACAATCAGAAAAAGAAACGAAAGTTTCCGAACGAATCTTCCTTTATTTTTCTGGTACCGAAACTTCTGCATCCAGAAAAACACGAAATACTACAGTAGGAATGAAAAAACTTATTAACCGCGCGTACAAATTAAAAATAAAAGTAATAACCTTTCTTCTAAACCTATAGCCATGTAAATTATTCACAGAATACAACACCGACAATATTACAATACAGTAGCGGGAATTTTTTCGTTTACAGAGTTTCACTTACAGAGCGGGATACAAAAAAACAGACAAAAAAAAACGTTATTTTCTACTATTCCCTATGATTTTAAAAAGAAAATGAGTATTTATTGTCACAATTTTGTCCTAATCCAATATAAAACATTACGTTGATATCAATATCGTCGAATAATAAGAGATCGTCATTTCGAAGGACACCATGACACCTTTTTTTTCTTGAAAATATTTTGAGAATAGCGAATTTAAAAATTGGATCAGGACAAAAATGTATTGAAAAAGTACACTGCTAATTGAAAGTACATCATAATATGAGAAAAAATTTTCCCCGATTTTCGAAAAAATGTAAAAAAACATATTTAGCAACATTCCAAAGAGAAAATTACTTATCCTGGGGAGACCCTGATACTATTTTGACGTTTTTGGACTTTCTCGGTTTTTCTTGGCCGGGAGCGCTATACGGGGTCCTCTGGGAACTGGAAAACAGTTTTAATTCGATTTTAATAATGTGTTTCGATAAAAATAGAAAAATATAAAATGACTTAAAAATATTTTCTTGAATAGACCAATTCTCAAAACTAAATCAGTTTTCTCTGAGACAACACTATACAGGGTCTCTCATTTTCGTATGTTCTAAAGAGTTTCTCGTTTATAAGTATAGATACAAAGATGCGGTTTTCACAAAAAAAACGCATAAAAAAAGTGAAATAAGTATTTTACTTTAAAACATTTTTATTTTAAAAATAAGTAAAAGTGGGTAACGCTGTGCCGGCTTAATCAGGTGACTAAAAATGTATTTGATATTAACTATGTATAGCATCTTTATTTTCATGAAAAAGTACAAAGGTGCTGTGAAAACCGCATCTTTGTGCCTGTACTCATAAGAAAGAAACTCTGTAAAACACACGAAAATGGGATACCCTGTACAGGGTGGGTCAAATTCGACGCTTTTAAATGGAAACACCCTTTTCTATGAGATAAGACAAAAACTAATATCGGAATATGGAGCTCAATTTTTATCAAAAACATGATGGTGAAAACCGCATATCGATATCTGTTACCGTTTCGGAATTACGGGGTGTTTCAAATCGCTGTAACTTTTTTGCTATGGAATATTTTGTATTTTTATGAAAACATTTCCAAAGCACCTTTTTACGTAGAATTTAATGGTTTAAGTATATTTTTTTTTAAATTAATAATTTAAGAATTATCAACAGAAAATTTATTTTTTTATATGGGACAGCCTGTATATTTTTAATTTATTGAAAAGAATTTAAAATTACCTTTCCAAAAATATAACACACTTGATATTTTGCTCGATTCCTCTTCGAGATATAGAGTATATAAAAATTCGCCCGCTTTAAATAAGTAGGCTTTGAACGGTACCGGCTGTAATGTAAAAAAAATCTATCTGTGGGCATCAATTAAAACGAAAATAATATTTGCTATGAGAGATGCAGAATTTTATAACCATTTAAAATATATTTAGCCAACATCAACACATTTAAACTATATCTAATAACAATAAAACTAAATAGCAAAACAAGACATGAGATTTTGCTACAGGTGTTCGACATATCGACCGTCTTCTGTTATGGACAGACGGGGCATTTTTTGAACATTTCTCGCGGAATTCATTAACTCAGTGGGGGTGAAAGATACCCTCTCATAACTGCTAAGTATTTCTAATTCTTGTCTAGATTATACGGAAGAATAAGGAACCTTTATTCTTCCGCAAATATATCCATAGGATTAGATCCATGGGCACTAAGTCAGGCGGCCTCGACGGCCAACGTCTGGGATCTTGGTTAGCTATTCAATTATTCTTGAAATTGGCTGCAAAAATTTACTGATAACTTCAGCGTTCAGAGGCGGTGCGTCGTCTTGCTGGAAAAATATGCTTTCGAGTTCCATTAAGGGCATATCTTCAATAACGGGTCCAAAGCCTACTAGTTAAAAGTGGCGAACTTTTAAAAATTCTGTATTTTGAAGGGGATTATAACAAAATATCAAGTGTGCTATATTTTTGGAAAGGTAATTTTAAATTCTTTTCGGTCAATTAAAAATATAGAGGGTGTCCCAAATATAAAATCAATTTTTCTGTTGATAACTCTTAAATTATTAATTTTAAAAAAAATATACTCAAACCATTAAATTCTAGGTAAAAAGGTGCTTTGGAAATGTTTTCATAGAAATACAAAATTTTCAATGGCAATAAAGTTACAGTGATTTGTTAAAAATGCATATTTTTGAAAAACACCCCGTAACTCCGAAACGGTAACAGATATTGATGTGCGGTTTTCACCATCATGTTTTTGATGAAAATTGAGCTCCAGACACCGATATTAGTTTTCGTCTATCTCCTATAGAAAAGGGTGTTTCCATTTAAAAGCGTCGAATTTGACCCACCCTGTACATGTTCGCTAATCGGAACAGATCGTTACAATTGTACTGATTAAAGACTGCACGGAGTATTTACACAATTTTGTATAAATGCAGTAACTAATAATTTTTAAAATTTAATTTCTCAAACTAAAACGTAAATTTTATAGAAACGTTAAATATTTTTGAGCCATTATTATACACCACAAACTGACACAAAAAGCCAATAACCAAAAAAAATATATAAAAAATCAACTGTACAACTCTACAACCATATAAAGCCATTCGAATATCTACTTACTCGCCTACGTGAAGGCCTATTTTAAAAGCGTCTAGACAACCTGTAAGATAAATATATCTACAACCAACCAAAAACCATAACATTAAAGGTAGAGTTCACTCTGTAAAAAGCTAGGTTAACTCTTCGAACGAGTCTCATTTTTTTTCCTTTTTGTGATGGTTAAATAGCAAATTATATGGTTAGAAGTTCTTTATGATAACCTCTTTCAAGTCTGTTAATTTTTTCTTGTTATATGACACAAGCAAACACACTCGGTATGACAAAATGAGCTTGAAAAATATAGAGAAATCGATAAGAATTGGCGTGTTCTAATAAAAATTCGTTTGAAACTTAGAGCATAATTTCTTCTTTCTCTTATAATTATATACCCTGGTTAAAAAGCCTCATCAAGTAAATGAACTGACCAATAAAAAAGGCTTTAGGTTGAGAAAAGTCATGAGATTTTTCTTTTTAAAACTGTCGTTTATAATTTTTTTTTGAGTGTCAAAAATTCTTAGACAAGGAGACAGATAACACGGCAGCTGAAAGTGAGGCAAGTTGTCACCACTCGAAATTACAAACTATAACACCTCTGTATAACACTATTTTATTTGACACTTGTCAAAAAGCAAACTGTCAAAAATCAAAGTAAAAAAAGCTGTGGCAATATGGCAACGTGCATTCTTCAAGCATTTTGATGACATACACGCCAAATTTTACTGATTTTCCTATATAAACCTTCGTAGAACTTAAAATTTTGATCTGGAAACCTACCTAGTTGAACTGGCACTTGGTTGTGGCAATTTTGACGGACGTATACTTCTTCTAGCGGAAACCAGTGGCGTGGAAGACCGTTCTCTTTGTAGCCGGCTACAGCATGCATAGCAATAATGAGTTTAAAGGAATTAAGCACAGAAATATTACAAGAAAATAATAATACAAGAAAAAAGCGTTCTAACTACAGCTAACAATAAGTTTTTATAAAAAAAAATAAAAAATTATATAGATCCAATAAGAAAAGAAAAAAACGCCGTCAAAGAAGCCTTTGGAATGACAAAGACTAATAATTTCTGTCACTTAAAAAAAACTGGCAAAATAACATATGTACTTGTATTATAGGGGTCAGCTTAACAGAAATTATCAACAATAATTGTGATTTCTAAGGCTACTGTGACGCCATTTTTCTTTATATGCTATTTAATACATTCTCAGGTTTAAATAATCGCAAATTTAACCAAGTAGAAACAAATATTCAGAAGTAACCAATAAATTATCGAAAGAAGATAGTGAAAGCATTGTGTTTATCCCTCAAAAAGTTAAGTTAATTTAATATTGATAATTTGTTTCACACTTGTTAAATGTGATAATAATACTAAATAATAAAATCTTACCTAGAACCTGCTGTAATGGCCGGAATCGCAGGATATCCGCCATACGCATGGCGATTTCTAGCGGAGCCTGATGTAATTCTAGGGATTTCCGAGACACATCTTGTTTTAGTTTCCCATTCTCTATTGAATTCATCTGCATCATCCTTTAAATTACAAGGAAAATATAAAATAAATTAACCTAAATAATAAATTAACCTAAATAATAAATTAAACTTACTTCATCCAGATTTATGAAATCTTGACGTTCCTCTCTATCACCAGTGTGCATATTTTGTTCCTTTTCGATAATATGAGCCCTTTCTCCAATATGGTGACCGATAGCCATTTTTTTAGTACCCGATACCGTGTCGGTTACTGTTCTTTGAGTTTCCTTTACACCTCCCGGACCTACTTTTGTACTAGACGTTGCTTTGTATACTTGTGGTTGTCCGTCAGGACCAGAAGTCATACTGATAACTGTACTGGAGCTACTATAATTACAATTGCTGACGGGACCTGCCATGGGGTCCATAGGACTACCCATCAAACGGTTAAAGTTTGATAACATTCCAAATGGGGACATAAGGGAATGGTGCATTCCAACAGCTCTGGTATTACCGAAATCGCGGAACATTCCTCCCATTCCGAAACCGTCTTGAAACATACCCATCGAGCTCATCATGTGGTCCATCGAACGCATTTGCCTCATTGCAGACCTAGCAACGCGAAAACATCAGGTAATACAATGAAAACATAGGGTAATAAAAGTGGAGTACAAAGAAAGTGAATATCTTACCCAAAGAAGGGGTCTTCGTCCATGTTGCCCATTAATGAGCCGAACAACGACATACTCATGATGGAAATGTTTGTTTTACTCAAAAGTTAATTGATATATTCGAGAAAAAACGATTAGAAAACAGGCGCAAAATTACTTGATAAATGATAAATGACATATGCCAATATGTCAAAAATAAATTAGACTTTGTTGATTGGCCACCTACACTAAGCTGTAGTAACTAAATTATTTCTAAAAAGAAAACTTCTAGTAAAATAAACGCAACAATTATTTTCTTAATTTTTTGGGATAAAAACAATAAATATTATATTAAATATAACAATTTAACTTAAATATAAATTTAGACTCAAAAATACCAAGAAAAACGTATTTTTAGTGTATTTTTATTATTTTTTTATTAAAACCCGATGTATTATTGGTTGCCTAAATTGTTGAAATTACAATTTTTATAACCTGCTTGTGATTGTGATTCAAATTTGAAATATTTGTTGTTTTCAAATTGTTTCAAACGAATTTTCAGTTATTTAAATGATTAGGTAGTGACTTTGTGTTAATATTTCTAAAATGAGTAACTTAAAAAATGCAGAAGCAAAAAAAGTCTTAAAGCGAAATACTGAACTTACCATTCCCAAAAATGATCCAAAGTTGTCCAAAAAACCAGTAGAAAGTAAAACCAGTCTAAAAACTTTTCTACCCTCGAAATGCCCTTCTTCAAAAAGCCAATCGGTTGATTTTCGTGTACCAGAAATGCAAAGCACCCTTAAATTATCGAAAGTTATTGACGATATTGTAAAACCAAGAAAAACAAGCAGTGCATTGGATGTTGACAAAAAGAAACTTGCATTGGATGAAAAAGTAATTGATTAGTACTGTAAGGAAATGTAGTTACCAGGTTATTTTTAGGTATCTAGAAAAGTGAATTTTCCCTATACTAAATCAGTTTATAAAGACTTGATACCTTTGTGCACCAAAGACAAAAAGCCTCAAACCCTTTTAGTCGCAAGAAATCCAGTATATCAAAGAGACCCAGAACCAGTATTAGAGAATTATTTGGAGCCTCGCAAAGTACCTTCACATTACTACTTACCTCCCTTCAACAGACAACAGCGTAATGCCAAGGACTATGTTTCAGTAACCAATGGATTAAACTTATATAAAACTATTCAAATTAATGAAAATCATTGCGATTAATTATTAAATGTATAAGGAAAAAAAATAACTTAATTTTATGAAAATATATTTTTAAAGTGTTTTACACATAGAAATAATTGAAAAATATGGCTGTTTAAATCTTATTAAAGGCTGCAACATCGACAGACTGAACAAAATCTTCGAATTCTTGAATCTTTTCTGTGAGCTCATCAATAGACACCTTCGCGTCTTCAACAACGCACATAATTTGTAACTTATTGATTCCATAACCGACTGGAACAAATTTTGAAGCTCCCCAAACCAAACCTTCCATTTGGATTGTTCTAACACTAGATTCCAATCGCCTTCATGTCAGTTTCATCGTCCCAAGGTTTCACATCTAACACAACACTAGATTTGGCAATGAGTTCGGGTTTCTTCGATTTCTTTTCTGCGTAAGCCTTAACGCGCTCTTCGCGAATTCTAGCGGCCTCTGCATCTTCTTCTTCGTCGTCTGATGCAAACAAATCAACATCGTCATCATCATCGGCCGCTGGAGCAGTTGTGGTGGTACCGGCCTTCAACGGAGAGGCCCCGATACCTTTCAGTTCTTCAGCCGAGAAAGACTTAACATGGTTGTACCAACGTAGGGCGTGCGGTTGATTTGCTGATGGGGCCTTGGCTAGCTGGTTGATTGTGTCAATATCGGCTTGGGATAGGGTGTATCTAAAATTATAGAGGACAAGCCACGTTTAAGTAACCTCAAAGAGAAAGGAATTTTGCTGTAAAAATAACTTACCCGCTAACGTAACTTTTGTCCTCTAAGAACTTGTTGAGTTCGTTGACTCCTTTCTCAGTTTTAAGATCTCCAAAGGCCATTTTTAATGTTTTTATTTAATTTTTCGCCCTACGAAAAGTTACGAGATCGGCTTTGACAGCTGGTGATCTTGAAAAAGGACAGATGACAGTTGTGAGTTGTGGATGACAGATGACAAGAAATGTCATTATCAAGTGTTACCGCTTCAGTACAATTGTACTGAATTTAGTACAAAATTATTAAATTTAGTACACCACTTAAATTTTTTTTTTGAAAAAAGCAGAAGAAATAACAAAACTGGCAAACTTTCGGTTAAGAATGTTTGTAAATATTCTTAACTTATTATTTTTTGTGTTTGTATACTATTCAAGTGCCGTCATCGATCGATAACTGAAGCTGTAACATATTTGTTAAATATTTAAATTGTTAATATATAGTGCGTTTATTGCCTTCTTTCAGAAAAGAGTTTTTACCCAGTGGCGGCTCGTGGTTATTATTGTAGGGTGGTCAATATCTAAAAATATTCCGTCGATTTTTTTAAGACGCGACCAAATTTAATTGGTTTCTTACAAGGTACTTGTACGTTTAGTTAAAGGAAAATAAATCTAAAAATAAATACAAATTATGTTAAAATGAAACCTACCCTTACATTTTTAAACAGGTGGTCTAGTCGTGCCATTTCACTAAAAATCCATCAGTCAATGTTCTTTACATAAATTTTCCAAGGTAGGATTTAAAAGACACTTAAATAATAATGTCACAAAAATATAAATACACATACACATTTCTAAAAGTTTTATTTTACATTTTTTTTATATTTTAAGTCAATTCTTTCTCTAAACGTTTTTTTTTAACCAAACCAAACACCATATTTATATTGTCTATTTGAAAATATCTATTCCAGAATCAGTCAACAAGAGTTCATCATTTATCCAGAACCAGAAAATTATGAATTATTACCTACACAAATTTCGCGCTGGATCTCAAACCCTCGCCTCGGCTACGATCAAGCTACGGCAACTAAAACTATTTTTTTTCAATATTTAAAAATTTAAATATTGATAAACGATACAAAAACCTAGGTTTTATAATTTGAGTTATTATAAACACACAAACTGCCCAAACGGCGAATTTTTTCCAGCGATATGACTGAAATCCTGTAATATATTTATATAGAAATAATGCACTCGATATTTCTTAATCAACTACATTGATTCTCAACTAATAAACAATATTACAAATTACAATAATAATACGCTCGTTTCTTGACAAAGACAAAAACCGCCACTTTTTATATCGTCTGTCAGTAAACTACCCTTTGAATAAGAAGACTAAGGAAGGAGCATATCAAAAATCTTAGGTACACCGCGATGGGCCTCAAATATGGCCGACTTAAATTCCGGTTTATCAGTGTCGTTCTAATTTTATTTAAAAAATGTAAAACTATGATGTAGTGTAGACGTGGGTGCGGGGAAGGGGGGTTGTTTTAGTTGGTTTTAGTTAATTTAAAATAAATTTAGACATACATGTAAGAACACCTTATGTGCTTTTAATTAGGTCGAACATATTATAAACGATAAATCAACTTAATTAAAAGCATACAAAGTGTTCTTATATGTCGGATATTAATTAAAAAATATATTAAAAAGACTAGAAATAGTATATATTAAGTTGTTACAGTTATAATTTAATCTTTGGCGGTTTTCAGCAAATAGCAGGCAGTTTTACATAATTTTCCTCCCTTTGAACTGAATTGGAAAGGCTATATAATTTTGGTGTAGGCAAGATTCCCAGTTTGTTTCCGTTTGGGACCTGAAATAATAAAAACAAATTAAATTAGATGTAATCATCTGCTGATCATGCTAATATAAAACGCGCGTCCTTAATTCCTTACATGCACCGTAAAAAAAATTAAATAACTGCTCAGCAAGTAGCATTTATTAGCAGTACTAATTTAAAAAATCTATAACTGTAAGTACATATGTTTAATTTACTTACCATTGTATCCTTCGGAAACCAGGTGTACAACAATTAAACTCCAAGATAAAAAATAATTAAGAGTCTATACAAAACACAAATTGTCCTACCATTTTTAAAAAACTTTGTCTAAAACAGAATACTGGCAAAACATTTGAAGGAATTTAATTTTACAATAATTCGACTAATCAACACGAAATCAAACCGTAAAATCACAACAAAAGCGTCTCTGAGTGACAGTTAAAAATCAAATTTTGTTATTGTCAGATTTTGACATTTGCATTGTTAATATTGACAGTTTTAATATTTTGCGCCTCTGCATCTTGGAGGAAAAACTATTTTTAATGAACTGTCATTTCCATTTAAGTTTCCCAGCCATGGTCTGTCAGTAAACTACCAAATACAAGTGTATATAAAGTTGCCTACCTTAAAAATCCTTTTATGAATGACGCGGTCAATGGCCAATATAAACTATATCTATCGCACCTTAACCCATTATATTTTCTATACGTAGTATACCTTACGACCTTGTTGGACCTTGTCACGAGCAGCGGCAGTTGGAGTTTAATACGTGTAAAACATAGCGGGAACGAAGGACAAAATGAAATTTTGACCGGCAGTAGAGAAAATGGGTAAAATAAAATGTTTTCAAGCGAAAATTGTACAAATTGGGAATAGTTTTGAATATTTTAGGTGATTTACAAAAAGTATAATTTAAATAAGTTTTTCTAATTTTCTCCTGATTTTTTGGGGGGGTATTGACCATTTGACCTCATGGTTAAGCCGCCAGTGGTTTTAACATAACATCATTCAACATCGTTGATTAAAGGATCAACAATAATATTTTAAAGATACGATATCACATGCGAGGACGTACCATCAGCCTACAATATCGAAAAATAACGGCGTGAGCGATGGCTATGAAATGAAGATCGCTGTCATTTTATATGTAAAATTATATGGGGAACGTCATTAATGTTAATTTCCAAGCCAACTGGATGCCGTTTTGCTAATGTAATGTGTTCTCTTATTATGCGTGCTTTAAAAATGTCTTAAATTACCTACAAAAACGCGTACTTTTCAGGACAATTTTTTTTTAATTCTACTGTCCGTAAAGACGAACGGACCCTCAATTAACTTTTAATTGTCTCACAACAATTTTTTTTATAAGTAAGATTTGTCCTGTGCGTTTAACAACAAATACCACCCCCCAAAAATTATTTTACGCAAAACGGCCTCCACTGCACCGCATTAAATTAAAAGCTAGCTTTACATCTGTCGCCGCGCAGCTGCCGATTGCATTTTCAACGAAGCGGCAAACGCAGACGTCCAATCCTCCCTTTGAAAAACTGGCCCAGTTCCCATGCCGCTCCCTACAAATTGTAGTACGAACAGACACCTTGAGGTTTAGGGCTGGTACTATCGAATCGAAAAGTAATCAGATAATTTTTAAGCGTATTTTTTCATAAAAGCTCGTTTCTCCAGTGATTTTTCTAAAATCTTTTTATGATTGTTTATAGTATCTTTTCTTTTACATTAAATTTTTATAGTGGTTAAATAAATATTAAAAGATTTGGTGGGCAGAATATTGTGCTGTCGTTACTTGGAAATTGAAGTGTACATCACCCTCATGGCATATGTGATTTTTGAAGCACATGCCGGATAGGCTCAAATCATGTTGTAGCTTCACGGAGAGTGTGTCAAATATTGCCAAGTGCGGTGTAATCTACAGATATATCTGTATTTAAAGTATTTTTAATTTATTATTATTTATTGTTCGGGTAAAATGAAGAGAGAAAAATTTGAAAATAAATCGGCAAAATCAGGGGATAGGCGAGTCATTAGACACAGGGTAAGTAACAACAGGACCGTATTCAGTTAATATATCTCATTTTAATGGTTTTAAAAGACCATTTTCAGTTGCAGTAACCTTTATTTGTTATTTTTTTTTCTAAAAAATATTCTTCTATGAAATAAATCGAAATAGGATTAGAATTTTGTATTTTTATATTTAAAAAAATCGAAATTAACGAATAAATATCGATTTTTGTTTGAAAATACCTTAGATGTTCCGTATGATTGAAAAAAAAACGACGTCAAAGTGTGCTGGGGAATGAAATTCGATGATAATTTTGGCGAGGTCAATCTCTACACGTCATTTACTAAAAATTGACATAGAACTTGTCAAAATTAACACTAATTAAAGAAATTTTAAAAAGGAATAGGAATACAGGGTGGTCCGAACTGAGTTAAAATTAATCATAAATTTTTCTGCGAAAAAATAATGATAAAACAGTTTCTCTTGAACTTCCGACACAAAAACATTTCAAATTTATGATTTCAGTCTAATAACTATTTAGTCAACATGTTTAATTTATGTCAATGATGACAGGTATTGATAATTTCCATTCCAAACATCTCGAGAACCATTACTCGTAACGATTTTTATCAAGAGACATTTTCTACGTAAAAGACATCTTAAATGTATATCTTTTCACTCAGTAGTTTTATACAGGAACGGACGAAAAGTTATATTACTCTTTAAATCAGTTAAAAAATAGGTAGGTAGCGCACTCTAAAAGTAGGAGTCATATTGACATCAAAATCAAATTTCTCATGTCAAAAAACTTCCGGGCACCAATTTTTATCCAAATATTGACTGTTGCTTCAAAAATTATTTGGAAAAAAATCGAAATAAAAATGAAACTTCTACACCCTGTATCTCCGAAACTAAGCATTTTAGGACATACATTTATACGAACTTTTTTACTTATTTTAATGTGCAGAATATGCTGCCAAGTTTCCGGAATACAGTTCGGAACATCCTGTAGAACGTTTCCAGACACTCAAATTTATTTCCAAAAAAATATTTTTTCTCGAAATTTAAACTACACCATTTAAAAATAATTTTTAATCAATAAAGTAGAGTTAGAGCCAAATAATGAAGTCTAGGGTTTGACCTCGCTAAAATTATTTCATCGATTGTCATTTCTTAACCGTCTTTGACGCCGTTTTTTTCGATCGCATGGTATTATAGGAACTGTGGTGTTGAAATGAAACACATTTTTGGTATATTTTACGGTAATTTAGGACTACTTCCTGCCGTTATATTAGGACTACCGAGTGCCGTTATACGTTCGACTAAGATTATTTTAGGCCCTTCCCACACAATGTCTTTAAACTCCTTATAAAATAACAAAATGTATATTAACAGTGCCGTGGCACAGATCCACTCCGAATTGGTGCTGATCTGGTGCAGCTTTGCCCCTCCATCGTCAGCTTGCCATTTTGTGACGTCCTCACCTGAAAACATCACAAAAATACATTAAATTCATTGTGTGACTAATGAACCAAACTGTACAAAATAAACATAAGCTAATTCTAGTTATTAAAGATTAGGTTTTGAAAGAGACCATTATTGTTACTTAGAAAACGTCGTAAATGTATATTTTTTCACTCGGTAGTTTTATACAGGTACGGAAGATACACACATGGCCAAAATTATTGCATATAACGATATTTTTATTTTATTTTGGACCTACTATGATTCTTTTTATATTTTTGGACTTATTGGCTTACTACACGACTAACTAATATAAAATTAAAAATCTAAGTGCAACTAGGCTATTATAATTTTATTTCATAATGAGTGAAAATCAACAAAAACAAATTTCATTTTAAACAGAAAATATTGAAAACAATTTTAATTATTTCTCACAACTAATAGTTTGTATTGCCTCCTCGAGCCTCAATGCAAGCTGTGAGACGACGTGGCATGCTCTCAATTAAGTTGTCCAGAAGATACGGGGGGATCATTCCTTTTGGCAATATGGCGTTTTAGCATGCCCCAAGCATGCTCAATCACATTCATATCTGGAGACATCGGTGGCCACCACAGTTTTCTTATACCTTCTTCCTCACAAAATTCGTGAACCGCTAAAGTGCGACGGGGAGGAGCATTATCGTCCATGTAAACAAATTCATCCCCCATTGCCCCTCGAAATGGACGCACAATAGGCTCTAAAACGTCTCTAAGATATGAGGCACCTGTCATTGTGCCATCAATAAAAACAAGAGGAGTTCGAGCTCCGTGCATTATACCTGCCCATACCATAATGCTTCCTTCCCCCTTGAAACGGGACACGGGGTTGAGCTGCATTCAAGCGTGCTCGTCTTCAGATGCTCTCCTAGTTCGTCGCGAGTCTGACACTAGGCCTATTCTAGTTTCAACACTAAACATGACGAAATTCCAATTAGGTCCATTTGCTCTCATCTCCTCAGCCCATTGTAGTCGCGTAATTTTGTGCTGTAAATTAAGCTTCGGAACACGTAGAGGCCTCCTTAAATGTAATCCTTTGCCATGGAGTCTTCTTGCTATGGTCTTTATTGAAACATTTGCTTCTTCAAGGCGAGCTAACACATTTTTAATAGCAGTACTAGAAAGCAGGGGATTGCGTCGTGCAATTAGGGATATTTTATGGTCTTGCACAGCAGTAGTAACTCTCTTTCTACCACTTCCAGACCGGTCTGTAACCTCGTTTGTCTCCCTGAATTTTTTAATATTTGCGAAACATCGCTTTGGTTAACTCCTACAATTTCATCTATTGCAACTTGTCGGTAGCCCTGTTGAGACACTGTTACTATTCTAACTCTATTAAACTGTGAAATAATGTTTCTAGGCATTTTAAGGTCAAAACAATGGTCAAATTTCTTCTGAAACCCCAGAGACCACAATTCGAAATGTGCAAGAATTTGTAATAATATTGGATCTGAACGATAAACATTGTTTACCATATCCATTTTAATAAAAAAAAAAATTATGACAGATTATCAAAGCTATGTATAAAAAAAGATTCTTTAAATTCTTTTCCGTATATTTTTAAACGATATATGCAGTAATTTTGGCCATGTGTTTAAGTTATTAGGTACTCTTGAAACCAGTTAAAAAATATGTAGGTGCCGCCCTCTACAAGTAGGAATCATATTACCTTAGAAATCGAATTTTAGGACGTACATTTTATACGAACTTTTTTACCGGTAGAATATATGCTTTCTAAGTTTCCCGGAATAAAATTCGGACCACCCTGTATAATAGAAACTATTATTTTGAGGTACATTTTCTTTACTTGTTAATTTTTTAAATAATTACCTGTGAACTCGGAAAGAGCCTTCAGGCCTGTGCCGACGCAGATGACAGATGTCGAAACAGCCACAATTGAGAGAAATATCCTAAACATGGTTGTTTTTCTCTGGCCCAACACCGGTGATATTTTTATGTATATGTAAGTCTAAAAATTATTGTTATCACTGTATTTAAAATGCGGTAACTATTTTCCATAACATTATTTTTAGCTATACAGGGTGTCTCAGAAATAAGTGCAGGTATTTTAAGGGGCGGTTAGATCTGGTTAAAAGAAACATCTTTTCTCTTTACCATTTTTAAAATAAACTGAAAATAACCGAGTTATTCAACTTTGAAAATTTTAAAAAATAATGGCAACATTTTGAGGACCGCTGGCGATAACGGGCTATTAAGGCTTTTTTCAGCTTATCTGACGCCTCAGGTGAATAAACAAGTGGCACTAAAAAGTTATTTTTACCATAGCAACTGTTAAAATTGCCTTAAGGTGTACGCGCACTGAATCGGTACCAGTCCGGCGAGAAACGGCGAAGGCGGTTACTCGACTATCGTAAATAGGTAGAGGTAGGAATCTGGCCTCTACAGGCCGAAATGTTTTAGTGGACGCCTGCGCCGTCTATATGTACGATGGTCGCAGTCGCTTTTGCTGGTCGGTCCGATCCGATGCAGTGCGCGCGGAGCCTTATAGGCTTATATCTATCAAAAATAGTGGATAAAATAGTACTTTCACCGCAAGGGTTGATTAAATGATACTTTAACAGCGAGGACAGGTTAAAAACTTTATTTCTTCTCGCACGTTTTTTAATTGCTTCCATTTTTGAAAATGTTTGTATTCCTTTTCATAAATTATTCGGGATTTAAATGGAAGTATTTTAGTTTGGATATGGCGTTTGTCGCCTCAGCCTGAATATCTGTTGGTAATTGACTTATTTCGTTTTGAGCCATTTCTGGCTCCAATTCAATCAGCAATCGACACGAAATTGAATTAAAAAATATTGACTCAAAACTGACAACTAAAGAGACAGCTTTATTTTTTATTTGTCAACTTACATAGAAACCAACGCCAACCCAGCACAATATTTTTTCTACTCGTAATAAATTCCTTGAAATAATAATTTATGAATATTTTTAAAACGTAACTTGCTATGGAAAAAAATATTGTTTTATACACGACGATAAAATTGCATTATCGTCTCCCGAAATTAATTCACTCGCGAATACTATTTTATCGTCTTGTATAAAAAATAACTAAAAATTGCCCGGAAAATGTCAAGAAAAATATAAAATTTTTAACATTTTTTTTTTGCAAAAAAACCTTATAGGCGTGTTTTTGCGTCCGAAATATACTACCAGTTAAAATATTTGCACTTATTTCTGGGATACCCTGTATATACAGGGTGTAATGGAAGTAAGACTATTCAAGAACACTTGGCTATTCTTAATAAATAATGTCGAATAATTTTAATGGAAAAAACGTATGTTTCACAACAGTAAAATTACAGTACGTCTGTCCGTTCTGTAGCTACGGGGTAACCGTGAGAGGGGAAACGATATTCTCTCGATGTTTTTCGTAAAAGAATAGACGACGCACGGGTCCCATCAATAAAAATTCGATAAATTTGCAAGTGGCCAATAAAATGAGTGGGCGGAGCGATTTGCGGTGACGTACTCGTCAAGTCGACGTATAAAATATATTGCTGTTTATTTAAATGTTTTTGTCCACATTCCTTTCATAGACACAGATCCAGCACACGTACTGTACTAAAATAATAAATACAATCATATCATAACTTACTTGTGCGCTTAGATACAAGGATCCGGCTACGAAACACAGAATTGCCCCAGACCAGTGAACAACGGGAGCATTCGTTTCTTGAAAGTTAGCAACTAGATTGATACCTAGAACGGTAAGCCCACCCACAAAAATAGCTACTTTGTTATAACTACAATTTTTGCTTATGTGATGCTTTTTACATATTTCCTCTACGTGGAGATACTTAATATAAACAGCTACACCAACTAAAAATATGAAGAAAATCATAAAATATTTTCCAACAGTAAAATGACAGCTTATTCAGAACCAGCTGGTCATTTTTGCCTCTTTTCAGATTTACATAGCACGCTGGTTATGGATAGGCTGTACTGTGGTAGATTAAGTAAGTGATGAAAGTGAAGAAAAAAACTTACGTAAAAATGATAAAATATTTAGAACAAATCCAAAAATGCAGCTTTCTGGTGGAATGGTTCCTGTATCGCTGATATAAGGCAGGAGGTATGTCACGTGTTTAAAATGGATATAGGCCAGATAAAATCTAAAAATTAAATTTGTAATATTAAAATTTACAATAACAAATAAAGCAAAAAGGGTATAGCCGGATTATTATGGGAAATCTGGCCCCGCGGCTTTTTGGACTCGCACTCAGGGGATGGATTTGGTATCGAATCAAAATAATTCGCCTAAAGTTTTAGCTCTTTAACTTAAACGGTTTTCAAGATTTCCAAAAAAAAACCGTTTTTTCAATTTTATTTTTATTTTTATAGTAAAATTTAAAAATAATAATATTTTTTTTCTAATTCTTAAAAGTCTAAGACATGAAAAAATAATATGATCGTGAATTTTAGACGAAAAACCGATTTTAGCCGAGGAAAGAAAATTAAAATCTTCATTTTTTTAACCTTTGTGAAATGTGTCACTCACTAGAAATCAGAAAATATTTTTTTTACTTCTTTACACTCAGGAATTTTTTAGAATTTTTTTAAGTGGTAGAACAATATGAAAAAAATTAAAAACTAATTTCTTTTTCTAAAATCTTCTTTTAACTAACTTATATTTTTGTTTAGTTAAAAAAGTGAGTAGAAAAAATTTTGTCATTAAAAAGACACCCTTGCAAGAAATAAACATAATATAAACGTCTATTACGCTGTACTGTTCGGATCGCTGTCAGGTGTCAGGGGTCGGGTAAAGCGGGTATGTGGCCGAAGGAAATATATATTATCATGACCAACATGACAGACAGGCCAGAGACATCGATTTGTGACGTCACCGCACTAGTCCGGCTTTTGTATTCTGCAATATGGTACTGCATATAGGTTTTGCATAGATAATAGTATTTATTGATAGTTTTGCCAGATATAAATATGAAAAATATTATACAGAAAGGTATTAAAAAATAACATTAACTTTTTATCGCGTTAAAGTAATTGAATAGCATTAAAATTTAGATCTAAAGCACGAATATTAATATGAAATAAACTACAGCATAAGATGAACAAAATAAAATCTAGATAATAAAAAGCATGTCCTAAAATTGCGTTAGCGAGTATTTATCAACTAGTAATAATATACCTGTGATAAAAAGTTTCCAAATATTAAAAAATTTGAAAACTATACGTTTATCGACAAGTTAAGAAAATGTATTGTATATGATAACGGCAGAATACATTTTAAAGTTTAATTAAAAATAATTGTAAAAATTTGCCTAATATATTTAAAAAATGTGGATATCAGATAGAATTAACTATTAACATTAAGTAATTTGTAGTTCGATGTTCATCAAGTAACCATCTCCATTATTCGTAAATAAAAAGATAAAGATATCATTTTTTTTTATATAAAATACTGAAATAAAGTACAAATTCATTTAATTTCTTTAAAATATATTGCCATTTCATAATAATAATAATACTTTTCAATATTTATTTCATCCTGAATTTCCAAATCTTGTTTTCTTTCATCGGGACGTTTTCTCTTTATGGGAACATGCACAGAGGGTCCATAAGAGGGTTGATTTGGAAAAATTGTAGGCACAGCATGTTCTGTAGGTTTTGGACGTGACCTAGTTACAGTTAATATTGTTGGGAAAGAGAATGTAGACAGAGCCTGAGGACTTATTATAATTGTTGCTACAAGGCACAGGCACAGGACAATGTCGCGGAATTTTTTATTTCACAAAGAAAAAATAAAGAAACGAAAACTGTTTTACATAAAAATACACGTCACTTACGTTGGTTTAACACTATACACTAACACTAACGCTATTAATTATGTTTTTTATATAAATTCCCCAACTTTTTCCTAGTCCGGACACACAGCCGGCATCGCCGGTGTTACTATAATTTTTACCGAAAATATGGTTTTTTCGCGGGTACGATGTTATGAATCGGATCTAGATAGTTCACTAATCACTCAAAATTATTTAGTATAATTTTATTAGCATAGAAATGCGTAAAAAACACAGATTTGTTGCGAAACTAATGAAAACAATTGGTTTGTTTACGACTACTAATTCTGGAGCACTTCGGTAGAACTGTCAAAACAGTCAGGCCTTAAATATGACGTTAGCCACGATATTATATATCAGAAATCTAACTAAAGCTTGATAAACTGATCCTGTCGTGTTAATCCACACCCAAAATTCCAAACACACGTGCTTTGATTAAGGTTTGCAGAGCTTCAGAATTTGCCATAAAATAGCGACCAATTTGTTACAAAACCATATAAATTATATATCACTCTAATCACAAAACTTCAATCTATTTCCGTATTGTAACGGAATTTTAAATTATGTCTTTATTTTCGAGAAAATTTAGTCCAAACATAAGGAATATTTTGTTGATGTTTGACCATCAAAATCTTAAAAACAAAGAAGTTGTCTAAAAATTGTGCTACAATACGGATATGGTATAATCATTTATCTTTAATTTCCTTCTTCATTTGTGTAAAAATACCTAGCCAGATTTACATAAAACGTTAAATGCCGAAGTGAAATGGACTCTTAAACAAAAATCACAAGTTTTTTTTTCTAGGAGCTACAGATACCCGATGCTCTATTGCCGGAACTTAATAAAAAACCGGAACGAAAAAATAATAATTATTACTATATAATATATATAATTGGACTTACGTTACAGAGATACCTCCTACCATCAAAACCGCGATAACAATGGGAAGAATCTGCAAATTAGACCCGAACTTGTTCCACATACTTGTATTTTTCTGTACCTCTTTTTCTTTTTTCATAGAAACAAAATATCTGGATATGATGTGGATGTGTATTAAGTTGACATCTCTTTCCCAACTCTTCAATTTACTAGACACTTTTATTACAGCTCACTCACCAACAATATGTAACATTTTCATTTCGCCAAACCATAGCTTGTCCTTTGAACTTTGAAGCTAGGAAGGTTATACTGTAATTATTATTTTTCTATATTCCTATTAAGTAATATTTTCCTATAAATTATCAAAATATGAATATATCCTGCAAGTAGTTTTATATACTATATTGTTATTTTCACTACTACATTTGAATTAAAGTTAGTAAGGTATTCGGAAAACACTGTTTAACTAATGAACTTGTTTACAAAACAATAAGAATTAATTGATTATACGGTTTTTAATTGTAATGCCCATTGTGCTTAAAATAAAGTCAATAAATGTCATTAAAGTTTATAATGTCATATGTCAGGAAATGTTACTTTGAAATTTTGGAATTGACAAAATACAAAAATTTTTATTAACAACAAGGTCAGCTTTAGTTATATATATTTAGTTATCTCTGTTAACAGGTATTTTATATACAGGGTGTTTAAAAATGAAAGGGTAAATTTTAGGAGGTGATAAAAAAAGTCATTTTTTTGTCATTCAAACGGTTGTCGTATTATAACTTTTTTATTTTTTCAGATAAAGAAACAAGATTTGGTATGTTAGTATGTGACATAAATTAGGATTGATTGACGTATTCAATTGTTTTTGATCACTTCCTGTTTCACCGGAAATGACTACAACTTTTGATTTTTAAATGGCACCCTCGGTATATTTTTACTTTAATCGATAGAAAATGAATGACATACCATATGTCAACTTTTGACATTTTTGTTTGACAAAACAAATCGTACTTTAAATTACAATCTGGAGGGCCATGACTGTGTTAAAAATACTAATTTTTAATCAAGGAGCCTGGAAAAATAGATTTGATCGTCTAATGTTTTTCGTGTCTTGTCCTGACCTGTTAAAATATGCCTGAATCGTATTTTTAATCATATCTAAATTTTTCCAAATGGAACAAGGGCGGTTCATTAGCATATTTGGAAAAAGCAGTTTATTACAAATAATTTGGTACCACACACTTGGTATTTCGAGTCAAATTGTCCTTTTGAACCGCATGTTACAATTTCAAATAAATATATAGGGTGTTCAACTTTGATTACACAAAATTCATTATTATTTCAGACGCGAGAGCCTGACCGCGTCACAGAAATGCTGAAGCTCTGTCTCCAGAGGATCTGCGAGCTGCAAGCCGAGATGAACCAAGTAGATGAAGAAGTCCATGATCCAGAGGCTGAAGGATATACAGCGTGTGCCATGGAAACACTCAGGTAAAAATCCAGACACTTTCAGAACATCGTACTTGGTCAGTTATGTGTTTCCGATGTTTAACAGGTTTCTGACAGCTCAGGGAATGTCACCTGACCATCCTGTCGTCAGGGCTTTGACAGATAGACTGCTTCGAAACAGAGACTGACAATGAAAAAGCTTAATATCCCTAGATTATACAGGGTACCCCAGAAATAAGTGCAAGTATTTTAACTGGTAGTAGGTATAGTTTAAACCCAGAAACACGCCTATGAGGTTTTTTTCGCAAAAAAAAATTTTTTGGAAGTTTTTTTAGTTTTTAGCCAAAAAACATAATTTCTTGATAATATGGCAACATAGGTATTAGATTAAATTTACAAGAAAGAAAATCTAGAAAAGATCCAGTGGTTCTCAAAATTTTAGCAGAAAATCATTTTTCTGGAAATTTTCAAAGTAAAATAACTTCGTTATTTTGGACTTATTTGAAAAACGATAAAGAGAAAATATGTTTCTTTTATCGAGTTATATATCGCACTTATTTCTGGGACGTTTAGTAAATACAGGGTATTTACTAAACTTACAGGGTGAGTCTTAAATAAGTGCAATTATTTTCAATTCATTGGTAGATCTTGATAAAAGAGACCTATTTTCTTTTTGCCGTTTTTCAAATAAGTCCAAAATAACTGAGTTATTCAAGCTTGAACATTAAAAAAAATGATTTAAGTATTTTTAAAAAATTTTGAGAGCCACCGAATTTTTTCTGTATTTGCATCCCTAGAGATTAAGAAATTATACCGTGGGAAAATTTGCCATGGACAAAAAAGTTTTCTAAAATATACAGGAAAATTAAAAAAAAACGCACGATTTTCAACATCTTTTTTCTCAATTTTTCAATCACTAGACTTTTTTGTCCATGTGGCAACACAGCTGGGGCGTCGGCTGATTACCATTGGATGCCGGTGGTTCTCAAAATGTAAACATTATTTTTTTAATTTTTAAAGTTATATAACACGGTTATTTTCAATTTATTTTTAAATTGTTAAATAGAAAATATGTGTCATTTTATCAGATCTACCACTCCTCAATATACACACACGGGAAAAGTCTAGGGATATTACAATTTTATCCAGCCATCGTCAGTAATTTTATTATTTGCATTTCTGATATAATAAAATTAAAATAAACAAATAGTTTACAGGACGTAATGGAAATAAAAATGCGAAATTTACCGAATTTTTCAAATTTACCTTGATTTTTATTGAACTCAAAAAAATACACACATTTTTTCTATTCTAAACTGTGAATTAAAAAAAAGATAAAACCATTTTTACTTAATAAAGGGTATAGCCTCCTCTACTGTTCATTACAGCCCTACATCGTCTCTCCATGCTCCTGATCAGGTTGTCGATCTCTTCTTGAGGTACAGCCTGCCACGCTGCATTCACGGCCCGAACCAGATCCCTACGAGTTTCACGAGGCATACCCATTCTCAAAATTCTTCTTTGGACCTCGTCCCATACGTGCTCGATGGGGTTGAGGTCAGGAGATTGTGCCGGCCAGGGTAAGATGTTTAATTGATGAACATTGATAAACTCACTTACCACTCTGGCTGTATGAGGCCGTGCATTGTCATGCATGAGAATGAAGTTTCTCCCAAAATCATTGGCATATGGTAACACGACAGGCTCAAGAATTAAATCACAATATGTGATTCCTGTTAGAAACCTTTCAAGAAAAACGAGATCGGTTTTTCGGCCTAACTGGACTCCTCCCCAGACCATAACTGTTCCACCTTCATAAGGGTGCACTTCCTGAACATGATCCAACCGAATAAGATTTCCCGTTTCTCTCCATACCCTAAGCCTTCTCGAATCCGGATGAATTCCAAAGCGTGACTCATCCGTGAAGAGAACATTGGCCCATTGTTCATTCGACCACTGAACATGATCTTGAGCCCACAAATATCGTACCTCTCGATTTCCTCTCGTTAAGGGTTGAGCTTTTCAGGGGCGTCTGCTTCTTAAGTTGACCTCTCATAATCTATTGCGAACAGTGTCAGGACTAACGGTTACATTATGTGTTTCCTGGAGAATTAAACTAAGCTCTGGTGCTGTAAGAGTCGGTCGGCGTCGAGCACTTAATTGTAAAAAATGATCTTGCTGAGTGGTAGTAATGCGATGTCGCCCTGTGTACCTTTCAGCAACATCACCACTTTCACGGTAGCGTGCACTTAATCGCGATATTACACTTTGCGTTGTATTTAATGCTCTAGCTACGTCGATTTGGCGCATTCCAGCTTCCAGCATACCCATGACCCTTAGCATTTCGTCTCTGTTAAGATGTCTACGCTCCATAATGTCGTTTAATACTAAACAGAGTTATTTGAATGAATTCTTGCCAGTTATCATAAAAACATAGCCAGTACAGGTTAAATTCGAACAATTGATGCTAGGTGCTTTTTATACATTTGACAAAAAATGCACACACAACACACACTTCTGCAAATATCCCAAATTTAGAAATAACTAGTGTGACTACTTCGGTTCAATCGAAGTAGAAAGAATCGGCCTACAAATATGTGATTGTTTATTCAAAACATTTATTTTTAACTTTAATAAAATGATATCCCTAGATTTTTCCGGTATGTGTACTTGCACTTATTTCAGAGACACCCTGTATAGTATTTTCTAGTTGTACGACTTGTGTATATTTTTTGTATCTCATTTGTCTGTTCAAATTCCAAGTAAACTTAGTTCCGTTAGATAAAAAATTAAACATACACTTTTTTTAATGATTTCGTATGGAAAAAATAATACAAAAAAATGCAATTAATTGTACATTGTAATTATTCTAATTTTATATCAGGTTGATTATTTTTTTTTTATTTTTAACTGAAATTATAGCAATCAAAATAAATTTAATATTTTTCCATTCCAAAGATCTGTTTATTTAAATTCAGATCGTATTAGAAAATATAAAAAATATTTTTTTTTACTCTTGTAGAAATTAGAAATGTAAGATACGGTTCTGCACTTTGTAAATTAATAATTAAACAGGAAATTTGAACAGACGATTATAAAATAAAAAAAATGTTATTATTAAGTTCTGTTCATAACTTGTACAGGGCAGCCTAAATTAAGGACAGAATATTCCAATACAGGGTGTTTTAGATGAAAGGGTTATCTAGTCCATATAAATAGGAATGTAATAAGTAGTAATACAATGAAACTTTTAGGATAATTATAGTAGCGTAATAATTTTATATTTATTAATAATTAAGCTAAGTAGATTTTAAGTGAAAAATTCTAGTCATTGTGTAAACTCTAGTCATTTTTTACTATTTATATATTTTATCTATTTTGGTACTAAATAAATCATGATTCTGTAATATTAGTATTTTATTTGTGTCTATTATTATTAATATGGTTATACAGGATGTCTTAAAAAGCATGTACTATCTCTCGTTGGGAGATTCGATCCGCACGTAAAAATAAGATTTATTTTCTATATCAACATAGGTCCTCAGATTCTGCTTTGTTTCGTATACCTACATGAGGTTAAGTCTTTAATTTTTCGATTTATTATAATTTTTTTCCAAGTGTTTTTAGTGATACAAATGAAATTTTTGGGATAAAAGTTACTATAAGCGCATACCGGGTGCGTCTCAAAAGTGGCTTACCCCTATAACATTTAAATTTTTTCAGATAAAAAAACGAAATTTGATTTGTTAGTATATGACATAAATTAGGATTGATTGATGTATTCAATTGGTTTTGGTCACTTCCTGTTTCACCGGAAATGACTACAACTTTTGATTTTTAAATGGCACCCTCGGTATATTTCTATTTTATTCGATAGAAAATGATACTCTGAATAGAATGACATATCACATGTCAACTTTTGACATTTTTGTATATGGTTTATTTGAAATTGTAATAACACGGGGTACATTGACAATCTGACTCGAAATACCAAGTGTGTGGTACCAAATTATTCATAAAAAATGCTTTTTCCAAATATTCTAATGAGCCACCCTTGTTCCATTTAAAAAAAAATTGAGATATGATTAAAAATACGATTTAGGCATATTTTAACAGGTTAGGACAAGACACGGAAAACATTAGACGAACAAAACTATTTTCCAAGGCTCCTTGAAAAAATGAGTGTTTTTAACATAACCATGGCACTCTAGATTGAAATTTAAATACGATTTTTTTTAAACATAAATGTCAAAAGTTGACATATATAATCTGTCATTCTATACAGAGTGTCATTTCAACTTCCGATGAAACAGGAAGTGATCAAAAACAATTCAATACGTCTATCAATCTTAATATATGTCATATACTAACATACCAAATCTCGTTATAAAAAGTTATAGGGGTCAGCCACTTTCGAGACGCACCCGGTATAACCATGAATAAGGTTTGTAACGAACTACAATACTGTTATTTTAAAGATATTTGCATATGCATACCAAATCTCGTTTTTTTATCTAAAAAAATAAAAAAGTTATAGGGGTGGGCCACTTTCGAGACGCACCCGGTATTTTAATGCTAAAAAAGTGTCGACAGATTTACCAGGGACGTGCATACCTATATGTTATCACTGGAATATTTTTCTAACAAAAAAACATGTTCACCACTGACTTTTTTCTCTTAGCTAAATTGTGTAGACTATTTAATGCCGATTAAAAGTGGTATCTTAATATTTTTTCGATTTCGATCACCTTGATGAGATAAACGCAATTTTTATTAATCACAATAATTAATAAAATTAAGAAGATACTTATAAATTAAATTTTATAACAACTAAATGTATTGATATAGCTAGATCTTGACCAAAAGCATACACATGAAATAAAACTACATATAAAACAAATCCTAGATCCTTTTCAAACCCTTGCGTGTGTTAAATCACTCATCTGTAACCAACCACCCCTCACAAAAAATCTACAGACCACTCTAGCACGTACAGAGAACAGCTGAGAGCCAGATGCATCAACAACCCCCATACACGCCAAACCTATCCCCCTTTGATTTTAATTACATCTTTGCCCAGAGCATTTTCAGCCCATTATTATCCTCCGCATATACTATATGCGTCTATTCTAGTCGCAACTCTCTCGACAAAGTGGAGTTTTGTTTATCCCGTTTGGTTTCAGTCTAATAATAACTTCCATATGGCTAGAGATCGATAAAAAATAATATAACATACGCGATAAGTCCTGTAACTTCCTTTAATGAGATCAACGA